CTGGGGGCTGTGTCGGGGGGTGCTGTGTGTGTCTGGGGGCTGTGTGTGTCTGGGGGGGTGCTGTGTGTGTCTGGGGGCTGTGTCTGGGGGTGCTGTGTGTGTCTGGGGGGATGCTGTGTCGGGGGGTGCTGTGTTTGTGAGTGAATGTATTTTTTTATTTAAATTTAAATATTTTTTTTTTACTAATAAAAAAAAATATATATATATATTTCCCCCCCTCCCTTCTTCTCTACCTTTATCCTGGGAGGGGGGAGGAGATCCGTTCTGTCATGCTTCCCTGGTGGCCCAGTGGTGAGAGTGAACTCTAACCTGCAGGTTAGAGTTCACTCTCGCGAGATCTGAGCGTTGCCGCGGCAACGGTAACCGCGGCAACGCTCAGAATCCCGCGAGAGGACCCGGCGGAGCTGCTTGTTAGAGCTCCGCCGGGTCCTCTCTCCTCCCTCCCTCCCTCACCCAGCCGGCAGCTGCATTTCCATGCCTCTGGGCCGGTGAGGGAGATCTTTGATCTCCCCACCGGCCCATGGAGGCCCACAGCAGGGACGGCGCTCGGGTAGCCCTGGCCCTGCACGGGCTGGCAGGGGAGATTCTGTGATCTCCCCTGCCGGCCTCGGCCCCACGGCCATCGCGGCCCACCGGGCATTTGCCCGGTATGCCCGATGGCCAGTCCGGGCCTGGATAGATAGATAGATAGACAGACAATGGATAGATAGATATATAAAGGATAGAAAGATAGAGGATAGATAGATATAAGATACATAGATATAAGAAAAAAGAGATCGATAGATAAAGGATGGATAGATAGATAGATAATGGATGACATACGATATGACATTTACACAATATCGCCGTAATATCGAGTCAGTCGATGTTGGTCGGGCTCTGTCCCAAGGCCAGGGTGTCTCTCTCTCTCAGTGATACATTCAGGATTACACGTTTTCCAAACATGTTGTTTATAAAGATTTAGGGATGACTCATCCCTTCACCTCCGATAAACTCTCTGCGTCCGGGAGCCAGAGCATGTAACCCACAGGATCAATGTGAAGGCGCAGTAATATATATACCATAACATCAACACTATAACTTCTAAAAAAACAGACCAAAATAGCTGAACTCGGGACATTCTCCAAATCAGCGATGATTCCAGTTCAGCTAAAATGTGAAATTCACTTTGAAACCATGACATTTCTCAGTTACCCCTGTGAGTGATCACTCAATATAGAAAACAGGACAAAAATAGGGAGCTTATAGAGAGAACTAGCAAGGAGCACACATGTCCAAAAACCAGGACCGTCTTTAATGCGGGGCAAACGCAGCCCAGTTACTCCTGGGGGACCCGAAACAGCTGCACCGTAGGCCCGGCTGGCCTCAACCATTTCTTCCCTCCCACAGCCGGTAACCCGCACACTGAGGAGGCCCACCGGGTGACCCATGCACTAAGGACGGCAGTGGGGATGGGGGTTGTGGGGGGGTAACAAGGATCAGTTTTGCACCGGGGCCCCATTGATATTGTGTACGCCACTGAATACACCCCTGCATTCAAAAACCAACACTACACAGAAATACATGTTTGCAATCACGCCAACACCACATACAAACATATTCCATACAAAAACCTGTTTACATTTAAACACACAAAAACTGCTCACAATATAAACCTGGGTCAATGGTAGAGCCCCAGCTGTTAATGCATTTCTGGAGTTGCACAACTGTTTAATCACCCGTGCGATAGGGAGGCCCAAAAAAATTCTTGCACTTCTGTACTTTAGGTCCACCACTGCGTTGGGGTGGAAGACGTGATTGCACGCCTGGGGAGGGAACATAGGGTCCAGGGGGCCCAAGCAAATGCTTTGCCCAGGGTCCAGTCAATATTAAAGACGGCACTGCCTAAATCACGGAGCTTTTAGAGAGAGCTAGAGAGGAGCACATATCTCCTAAAACATGGAACCTATGGAGACAGCTAGAGAGGAACACACTTAGAAAATGTAGGTGACTTACTAATAACAATGTACACAACTAAAATGTAGTTTAGAATAACAATGTGTCTTATTTACACAGACTGATTTCTAAACACATTTATTGTAGTTTAAAGACACATTACTGGGAGTATTATTGCTGTGGAGCTCTGTTATACACTCAGACACATTACTGGGAGTATTATTGCTGTGGAGCTCTGTTATACACTCACATTACTGGAAGTATTATTGCTGTGGAGCTCTGTCATTTACACTTAGACACATTGCTGGGAGTATTATTGCTGTGGAGCTCTGTCATTTACACTTAGACACATTGCTGGGAGTATTATTGCTGTAGAGCTCTGTTACACACTCAGACACATTACTGGGAGTATTATTGCTGTGGAGCTCTGTTACACACTCAGACACATTACTGAGAGTATTATTGCTGTAGAGCTTTGTTATACATTCAGACACATTGCTGGGAGTATTATTGCTGTAGAGCTCTGTTACACACTCAGACACATTACTGGGAGTATTATTGCTGTGGAGCTCTGTTACACACTCAGACACATTACTGAGAGTAGTATTGCTGTAGAGCTTTGTTATACATTCAGACACATTACTGGGAGTATTATTGCTGTAGAGCTCTGTTACACACTTAGACACACTACTGAGAGTATTATTACTGTAGAGCTCTGTTATACACTCAGACACATTACTGGGAGTATTATTGCTGTGGAGCTCTGTTATACACTCAGACACATTACTGGGTGTATTATTGCCGTGGAGCTCTGTTATACACTCAGACACATTACTGGGAGTATTATTACTGTGGAGCTCTGTTATACACCCAGACACATTACTGGGAGTATTATTGTTGTGGAGCTCTGTTATACACTCAGACACATTACTGGGAGTATTATTGCTGTGGAGCTCTGTTATACACTCAGACACATTGCTGGGAGTATTATTGCTGTGGAGCTCTGTTTTACACTCAGACACATTACTGGGAGTATTATTGCTGTGGAGCTCTGTTATACACTCAGACACATTACTGGGAGTATTATTGCTGTGGAGCTCTGTTTTATACACTCAGACACATTACTGGGAGTATTATTGCTGTGGAGCTCTGTTATACACTCAGACACATTACTGGGAGTATTATTGCTGTGGAGCTCTGTTATACACTCAGACACATTACTGGGAGTATTATTGCTGTGGAGCTCCGTTATACACTCAGACACATTACTGGGAGTATTAATGCTGTGGAGCTCTGTTATACACTCAGACACATTACTGGGAGTAGTATTGCTGTGGAGCTCTGTTATACACTCAGGCACATTACTGGGAGTATTATTGCTGTGGAGCTCTGTTATACACTCAGACACATTACTGGGAGTATTATTACTGTGGGGCTCTGTTATACACTCAGACATTACTGGGAGTATTATTGCTGTGGAGCTCTGTTATACACTCAGACACATTACTGGGAGTATTATTGCTGTGGAGCTCTGTTATACACTCAGACACATTACTGGGAGTATTATTGCTGTGGAGCTCTGTTATATGATCAGACACATTACTGGGAGTATTATTGCTGTGGAGCTCTGTTATACACACATACACATTACTTGGAGTATTATTGCTGTGGATCTCTGTTATACACACATACACATTACTGGAAGTATTATTGTTGTGGAGCTCTGTTATACACTCAGTCACATTACTGGGAGTATTATTGCTGTGGAGCTCTGTTATACACTCAGACACATTACTGGGAGTATTATTGCTGTGTAGCTCTGTTACACACTCAGACACATTACTGGGAGTATTAATGCTGTGGACCTCTGTTATAGTCGCAGACCTGCCATGCATATTGAGCTCCTACAAAAGATGGACGAAGGGATATGGTCCAAAATAGGGACTGTCTTCCTAAATAGGGACACTTGGGAGGTATGGTAATGAAGAAGAGAACAGCCATTGAACACCACCCACCTTTTACAGAATAGAACTGAACCCTTAGTGATTAATCAGTTACTACTCTTTTCATAAAAAGTCAATTGAACTGTTGGGGTATCTGGTATCCCCAAATCCAGGACTGCTGCATACCCAGGGACGATCCACCCCCAGGAGAACTAAAGAATGCAGATGTTTTCTATAATAAATTGTGAATTTGGGGGATTAGAAAACTTGCACGCCAATTTGAAGTTACGTGGGGCATTGGTGTAAATTGCATCATTAGTTTTTTTTATTAGGTGTGATTCACGGTTTTAAAAATAACACCCAAGACAGATGAGCTGGTTGGATGTCATGGTGAATGATGTGCAATTATCTGGAAATCTTCACAATATGCACATGGCTCGCTTCCATGTATACAGGATGTGAACGCTTTCACAAACAGGCGTTAGCAAAGCGACCCAATAAACTCAGACGGGGGTAGAAATCGAATACCCCACTGCCATGCTGGGAGAGCAGAATTCAGGGAGATTAGTTCTGTATAACTGGGGGGGGGGAGGGGGCTCTGTAATATCGATTGGATTTGACTTCCGACTGCAGTTTGTATTTTATTTGTTTTTTACAATAAAATATTTGGAAAATGTAAAAGCGGATTACGGGTTTCTCCCAGTTAATTTAAGTAACCCGACCTCGCCCTAGAAATGTGAATTAAATATAAAAAAAAACAGGTAGATGAACACGCAAGCACGACTAATAATAAATGTTTTCACTTTTGTCAATATGTTTTGTTCTTTGCGTCTCTTCCGCTGATATGTTAAAGTTATGAAACAACTCCTTTAATATAAACTTTTAGTCTTTTTTAAGTAAAGCGGTCTGACACCCGTGAGACCTGTTGTCAGTCTCAGTCCGTGTGTCCTCTTTCTGTTTTGCAATACTCTTATAAATAAAGGGTACTATACTAATAAATAAAGGGTGGTCTGCTATCATATGTTCACATAAAGGACCAAACATGGAGAATTATCTGAGAATGATACGGCCCCCCTACTTCTTGCACCCACAGAATATATATTTAATAAAAGGGAGGCAAAATCCAAACAGGTTATGGTGGGGACCACCTGAAGTCTGTGGACAGGTAATACAATGTTAAACAACAATCTGCGCACCAGTCAAGCTATAAGACTTGCTTTTCCCACAGAAATCCCAAATCCACCCAGAATCCTTTGCGGTAGTAAAATCACTGCAAATTTGTGATTTCTGTGGGAAAAGCAAGTCTTATGGCTTGACTGGTGCGCAGATTGTTATTTAACATTGTATTAACTAATAAAAGGTAGTTAGGTTCCACAGTCTCTTCTTCCGCTATCCAATAACAGTTTAAAAAGAACAGAAAGTGCTTACCAGAAAATCTCAGTTTCTGCCACAAGTATGCGCTACATAATTCCATCTAATCCAGGAATTAGAGTCCTCGGGATTGAATATAATATAAATATAAATATAAATATAAATGCTTTAGGTGCGGCTGAGAGATACAGACACTGAATATGAGTCTGTGCTCAATATATTTACATGATCCATTCAATGACAGGCTAACAGAACCAATCATTGGAGCCTGAATGGTGCCCAGTGTAACGGGCCCCCACAATCGAAAGATCCTCCTGGGGTAACTGATGGCTTCTGTAAGCCTGTCATTGAAAGGATCATATAACTATATTGAGCACAGTAATAAACATCACAATCTGGTCTATCTCCGCTGCTTTCCTTACGGGTTCTCTGTGCACCCTAAAGGGGTCAACTGACAAATGTCAAAGTTAAACAGTTCTGTCTCAGCCAATCCTGCACGATGCACCCACTTTGGGTCAGTTGTCCTTTTTCAGGTTTTTTTTCTGCGTTTCCCACGTCTGATCGAGCCGTAGGCGCAATGTGTGCCAAATTAACACTTTCTCCAGAATGATACAGCCAATGAACCAGAATGGGGCGTACTCTAGGGTCACCAGGCCGGCGTAGTTATACGGGTAGTGACTGTAGTCCCACGGACAGGCACCCACACATTGCAGAAGCCACCCAGAGCTGAATTCACACATATAAACCCACAAAGTGTACAGGAGCGCACGCGGAATAAATCCCCAGCGGGAGCGAAGCGATAAGTACATGCGCTCAACTCCCAGCATGGCTGCACCATAGATAAACAGCGCCCAGATGCTGGTTATGCCCCGAAATCGCCAATCACCGCTGCCAATGAAGTCAAGGGTCGCTGTGAAAAAGATCTCACACACATATCCGTGAATTGCGTAAATATAGAGACGGGAAAGAATCCCGAGTGGCGCTGGCGGCTCCATCATTCAAAATCTGCGACAGACGAGAGAGGAGAAAAACAGAGGATCATTTCTGATAATTGCCGGTTTAGTATATAACTCCCAGCACACACAGTTTTATATCCTGCACATAACGTAGTGATATAGTCACTAAACAATGTACCGTTGTGAGTTGGGAACAGAATTTTAGCCAAAACATCTTCAACTTTGTATTTCTATATTGGCCAAATTTTGAAAGTCAGTTATCACCTCTCCACTCACACATTGTTTAGTGAATAAATCCAACGTAAAGATAAGCACACTCATTGTCCTAATTCATTCTGCATTGTTTGTATCCTGTGAAATCATGTTAGCATTGGCATGCCAGCAATCGTGAATTGTGTTAGTGTGAGCTGTTTTACTGAGCTCTGAATTTGGTTGTGAATTAAGTTAACATGTTGTGTGTTAACTTTGGGTAAAATGCATTTCTGTGAGTTATGTGATTTATGTTTGTATGAATTGTGTAGGTTGTGTTTGTGTGAGTTCTGTGAATTGTGTTTGTGCATGTTGTGTGAGTTGTGTTAGTTTTTTTTAATTGTGTTTGTGTGGATTGTGTAGGCTGTGTTTGTGTAAGTTGTGTAGGTTGTAATAGTGTGTAAATTATGTTTGTGCACGTTGTGTGAATTTTGTTTTTGTAAATTATGTAGGTAGGTTGTGTTTCCGTGAGCTGTGTGAATTGTGTTGGTTGTGTTTGTCTAAGTTGTGTAGGTTGTTCTTCTGCTAGTGTGTGAATTGTGTTTGTGCGCACTATGTAAATTGTGTTTGAGTTGTATAGACTGTGCTTGTGCGAGTTGTGTGAATTGTGTTTGTGTGCGTTGTGCAGGTTGTGCTTGTGAGTTGTGCAAATTTTATTGGTGTGAATTAAGTTTGCGTGAGTTGCATTTCTGTGAGTTGTGTAGGTTTAGCTTGTGTGAATTGTTTGTTTGAGTTGCGTAAGTTGTGTGAATTATGTTTGTGTGTGTTCTGTAGGTTGTGATTGTGTAGATTGTGCTTGTGTGAGTTGTGCAAATTTTGTTGGTGTGAATTAAGTTTTAAGTGTTCCATTTCTGTGAGTTGTGTGTTATCTTTGTATAAATTGTGTTTGTTGGTTGTGTAGGTTGTGTTTGTGAGTAGTGTTAGTTGTGTTTGTGAGTTGTGTAGGTTGCATTTGTGTAAGTTGTGTTGTGGAGAAAAATCATACAATGTGTTTTTGATTCTTACCAGCGATAGTCGGATCTCACTGTGACTGTGACACCTTTCCCAGGTATTCTCTTATTTATCTGTCTCTTCATCCTCCTCTTGTACCCACACACCCCACCCCTCCCTGCCCAATGTACCCACACTGCACCCTCCCTGTCTTGTGTACCCACACCTAACCCCTCCCTGAATCTTCTTTCCCAGATTCTTTGACTTTGTGCCAAACGGGCAGAACAGAAGTGACAGTCCCGGCACAGTATATACAGTACGTACAATGTATACAGGTAATAGTACAGGTATGTGACAGTCCTGGCACAGTATATACAGTACGTACAATGTATACAGGTAATAATACAGGTATGTGACAGTCCTGGCACAGTATATACAGTACATACAATGTATACAGTTAATAGTACAGGTATGTGAGAGTCCTAGCACAGTATATACAGTACGTACAATGTATACAGGTAATAGTACAGGTATGTGACAGTCCTGGCACAGTATATACAGTACGTACAATGTATACAGGTAATAGTACAGGTATGTGACAGTCCCGGTACAGTATATAGAGTACGTACAATGTAAACAGGTAATTGCACAGGTATGCGACAGTCCCGGCACAGTATATACAGTACATACAATGTATACAGGTAATAGTACAGGTATGTGATAGTCCTGGCACAGTATATACAGTACATACAATGTATACAGGTAATAGTACAGGTATGTGACAGTCCTGGTACAGTATATACAGTACATACAATGTATACAGGTAATAGTACAGGTATGTGACAGTCCTGGAACAGTATATACAGTACATACAATGTATACAGGTAATAGCACAGGTATGTGACAGTCCTGGCACAGTATATACAGTACATACAATGTATACAGGTAATAGAACAGGTATGTGACAGTCCTGGTACAGTACATACAATTAATAGTACAGGTATGTAACAGTCCTGGCACAGTATATACAGTACGTACAATGTATACAGGTAATAGTACAGGTATGTGACAGTCCCGGCACAGTATATACAGTACGTACAATGTATACAGGTAATAGTACAGGTATGTGACAGTCCTGGCACAGTATATACAGTACATACAATGTATACAGGTAAGCGTACAGGTATGTGACAGTCCTGGCACAGTATATACAGTACATACAAAGTATACAGGTAATAGTACAGGTATGTGACAGTCCCGGCACAGTATATACAGTACGTACAATGTATACAGGTAATAGTACAGGTATGTGACAGTCCCGGCACAGTATATACAGTACGTACAATGTATACAGGTAATAGTACAGGTATGTGACAGTCCTGGCACAGTATATACAGTACGTACAATGTATACAGGTAATAATACAGGTATGTGACAGTCCTGGCACAGTATATACAGTACATACAATGTATACAGGTAATAGTACAGGTATGTGAGAGTCCTAGCACAGTATATACAGTACGTACAATGTATACAGGTAATAGTACAGGTATGTGACAGTCCTGGCACAGTATATACAGTACGTACAATGTATACAGGTAATAGTACAGGTATGTGACAGTCCCGGCACAGTATATACAGTAC